CGTTTTGCAAGATGTGGCTAAAAACCTGGCCTGGAATTCTGACCTCACTCCCAGGCCCAGCAGGGGCTAGATGTGCTGTGAAGAAAGGAAAGGGACTACAGTACAAGACAGCAAGGGCGGATTTACTCTGCGGTGACCCCTCTGGCCAATGTAGGAGTGGCACCCATGGGATTTGAAGGGTATTCGATGTAGCCTTTCCTATGCTGGATATTGCATTCCCTACGTATTCAAAATCCCATTTCAGAGTATGGGGAAGAAGATTCACGGAAATTTAAGGGGGGCGTGTGGTTTCGGTGCACAAGGAATGCAAGTTCAAGGTACCCTAACTGGGTGGGGGTGAAGGGGAACCACGAGAAGGCAAGGGCGAAATGGAGAGGAGGGAGAGAATATGGGACACCCAGGAAAAATTAATAAAATCTAGTATTTGCTTCCCGGCTAAGAACCTATATACCAAGTTCCCAGCCCACAGGGAATGCTCATAGCTGATTTATAATTCCTTGTAAACAGGGGGCTGATAATGGAAACTCTGATGCAACCCTACATTTGGCAGCATAAATGCATGACAAGATTTCAACTCTGTAAAATGCCAGTTGGAACAGCAATCATGATAAATCTTCAATCTTAGGACTTTTTTTTAGCTCCTTCCTAACTTTCTGCAAACATTGCATTCAGCCAGCCGATCAATACATGCAGAACAAAAGATCAGACTGCAGAGAGGGACAAACAGAACAGAGATTTTCTTCATAAATTCCATCTAGTAGGGGAACAAAAGCCTAGTTATTATCATCACTATATTATTTGTTATTAAGTCCGTTTATATAGCATCATTTGTTTACACTGCTCTTTGCAAACACAGATAAACAAGATAAATGCAGATAAACGCATCTTCCCTGTCCCTGAGATCTTACAATCTAAGTAAAGCTATGCTTGTTCACGTTGAATTATATATTACTTTTTAACTACAGGGAAGACGTCTTTAAAGCATGTCTGTATCATCTCAAGTGTCTTAGTATGAGACCTGACTTGCTACTGGGCTATTTTAAATGTTAGACATGTAGTATTAGTGGTAAGGCTCTCCTTCTTTTTTTCTACTTTAAAGCAGATCTGAGCATTTCGGTTCAGGAACTTTGCTGCAAAATAAAAAAATGCAGCATAGAATGTACAATAATATCTTTGTATTAGGGTTGCAGCCTTTGTGGAATTCATTTGTAATTTAATAAGTTGCTCTAAGCAATTGCATTCGCTGGAGCTAGGGCACAGTGACCCTGTGATGGTTATTCTCGTGAACAAATTTCTATTAATTGTTATAAACATGAAATACCATCACTCAGACACACACACACACGGCCGTCCACCCCTTCCTCTCTGTTCTGTGGAAAGCAGCCACCAGAAATAGTGACTCCTTTTACCTCAAAATGATTTGGGAAAAACTAAATAATTGCAATATGTACACACTCAGACCAGGCCTGAGTGAAAATAAATATGCAAGACATTTGCTGATATATATGACTATAGGGTCCATATAATAATACGTTTGCAATCTGCCCCTGCCCCCTCCCCCGCCGCACGACCCACCACATACACCAGCAACTCGATCAGTAACATCGATTGGAAGGTCTTTGCATTTTCACGGCTGGCTGAAGTCTCCTCCAATGGCAAAAGCAGGCCTTCACAGTGCCCTCCTGACACAAACCGGCTACAGCGACTTTAAACAACAAAAATAATCAAAAAAAAGTGCACACGACCGTAGCTAGACATTTACATCTACACCGAGGCAGCTCTCTATTGACACACTGTTTACAATCTATTTTGCAAGAATCCGCAACAGTGACAACAACTGCGAAGAATCAACCCACCACTTAAGAGTCCTGGAAAGGGAAGGGGGGGGGGGGGGAAGGACCAAACACAAACATAATCCTCGGAGTATATTTCTTTTCAAAAGCAAGGATATTCCTCACCTGAAAAAAGCAACGCCAAAAACATCATTCAAAAATAGATCTGCATGGGGGAAAAAATAAGCTGCTTTCATCAAAAGTAAATCCCTGGTACGATCATGAGCGCCAAAAAGAGGCGGAGAGAATACAAATAGATCTCGCTATAAAAAAGACGGATCATTATTTTTTTTAAAGAGTCCAAGGTAGCAGGATCCCGGGATCTTTTTAAAGGCGAAACGTGCTCAAGCAGATGCAAAAACAACGTTAAACAATCCTGTGTCTCGCCTCCCTCCTGACTGCCTGAGATCCTGTCTGCCTCCTCCTCCTGCATTTTTTATTCGGGTTTTTCCCCCCTCTCCTCCTGCGTTATGAAAACCTCACCCCCCCCTCCCCCTTTCCTGGGTCCCTACATTGCAAAGCCTTTTGCTGGGGGGGTGGGGGGGGGATCTGGTGTGTTGCGAGGAGGCCGGCGGTGTTTGTGGGGCTTTCACGACCGAGAGCGGGGTGGCCTCAGCCCCGGATCTCTCTTATGTCACCGAATAGCAAATTAGTTCTCAGAATTCCAGGGGCCGAACTCTGCAACATTGAAGCCGCCCCGACGTCACAGAAGGCAGGCGGCCACGTGACGCCGGAGCCCGGCGCCTACCACCGCCCGCGGGGGGAGCCCCCCCGGCCCCGGCGGCAAGCCCCCGCTCGTTGCGCCGCGGCCGGTGGGGGGGCCCGGCCGGGAAGGCGCCCCGGGGCTCCCGGCGGCGGGCGGCAGGGGGCGGGCAGCGCGGCGTGGGGAGGAGCGAGCGGGGAGGTCGCGGGGTGGCCTGTGGCCTCCCCTGGGCTGGGCGCAGTGGTAGAGTCGGCAGCTCAAATTCCGAGAATCGAGCGGTGTTGATTCTTAGAACGGGGGTTCTTAGAAGTGGTGATGCAAGGAGTTTCTAGGAAAGCCCGGAGACCAGGTGATTGCTGCCGCCGCCGCCGCTGCTAGTGCCGCCGCCGCTGATTGTTTTACCCTTTAGTGCTGCCGGGGCTGGAGGCTGCCAGCCGGCGCCTCTGTCTCTGGGCTGCCCGGGCGCCTCTCTCCCCATCCCCACTCGCGCGGGGCAGGTGTTCGGGGCGCGGGGCCTCGCGTGGTTTTTTATTTCGGGTGGGGGCGCGGGCAGGGCAGAGGCGTCGCTGCGGAGCGAGCCCGGGCTGTCCGCCGGAGGGTGACAGGCGGGGGGCGCAGGCTCGGCTCGCAGGGCTGCTTCCCTCTCGCCTGGCTCCTGCGCCGAGCCGGGGGGGGGATGATCATGATGAGGATTTGGTGGCTCGCTCAGGCTCGGCTGCGCTTCCCTCGGGCCGCCTTTCCCCTGCCCCTCCGGACAGGGAGCGGAGTCTCGCGGCTGCTTCGCTCGCCTTCCTTGGCTGAGGCTTCCCCCTCGCCTGGCGCCCGGCCACCACCAGCCTCTCCGAGCCGAGTCCGTGACAGCGGGCAGCGAGCAGAGATTTGCAACAACAAATGGTCCAAGCAAACTCGGCCGCTTTGCCACGGCCCCACTGCCTCGCCCCCCCCCCCGCCGCCGCTGGTCGAACACCCCCTCGTTGGGCTTGAATTGTGTGTGTGTTTGTGGACAGGCGATTTGTGGTGGTGTTTTTGCATTGGAAACCTGTTAGCATCCACTGTCTTGGTTGGGGTTGGGGAAGACCCTTCCTCCGGGGGCAGGGGGCTCTGCACCTGCAGCCGCGTCTGCATGTGGGGGCTTCGGGGCGATGGGGAGGTGTTGACAGGACGGTGGGAGCGAGATCGCTTGGGGGGGGGGGGGGAGGTGGCAGAACATGTTGTGGTGTTTTGGGTGCTGCGTGATTTAAGGTTGTTTCCCAATGGCTGCATTGTTGTTGTGTATTTTTTTTCTTTTGTTTTGTTTTTGGGTTTGTTTGTTTTTTTTTCTCTCCACGGTGCAACATCCGTGGGGCTGATAATCAAAGGCACATGCACCGGGACTCAGACTAGCCAGGGTGACTGCAAAGGGCAGGAGCGGCGGGGCACAAACACTCCCGATTTTGTTTCTGGATTGTGCTAAGGGAGGCGTTGACAACACAACTTGGTTGCGTGTGTGGTGGTGTGTGTTTTTGTTTTTTCTCTCTCCCCAAGCCAATGCAAATAGATGACTTTGCAAAAGGGCTAGTGAATTCTGCAACCTGTGGCTGGCTAGTCCTGCCAACCCAAGCGATCAAAAAGTCATGATTGCTGGATAAGACTCGCGGGAGATCTTGAGGGGGATCCCAGAGTAATTGTGCGAAGCGACTGTTGCTTGGATCGACTGACTCTTACCTGCCTGAGCTGACCACGTCCATGTTTTGCTTTTTGTTTTTGTTTTGAGTAATTATTTAGGAAACACGTTTGTATTTCATAGAATAATTAATCCATCCTGGGTTTGATTTTTGTTGTTGTTGACAGAAAAATAAAAGCATTTTTGACCAAGACATAAGTGCTTTAAGGAGACTTTAAAAAAACCTGGCTACTGAATTACTAGATCTGTAAAAGATTTGGATGATCACCAGCTTGAGGGGGGGAAAGGCCATCAAACCGGCGTCGACGAAATAATTCTGGGCTCGGGACTCAGGTGGAAAGGGAGCGAAACCTCCCAGGGCTCGTGTCCAAGAGGGCGAGCGTCCGACAGGAAACCCGTGTAATCTTTTAATGGATTTCCAATTAGTTTATGGTCTCCTTGAGTGCAGCTAAAGTCCTCAAAACGCCCAAGACACGGCTGCTACGGAATGTAAACACGATCCGCGGATGGCTCCGGAGCAGGGTTGCTGGTTGCAGCGCCGGGGGGGGGGGGGGGGGGGGGGGGGGGGGGGGGGGTGTGTGTGTGTGTGTGTGTGTGTGTGTGTACACACACACACCACATCGCGCTTGGCGTGGAGACAGGCACTCGTAAACCTGCAGTCCCATCTGGCCCCTTTCCACACGCTATTCCTGGAGGTAGCAACCAGCAAAGAGGAGCAGGCGGGTTTGTTTGAAAAAGGAAGGTGGGGGGGAGAATTGGAAATCTCAGCTTTGCAAAAGTGCACGCAACCCCCCCCCCCCCCCCATGCAAGGTGCAAAGTATCAAACTTTAGGGGGGGGGGGGGAGAGGAGGAGAAAGGAGGGGGGTGACCCTTTAGAAATCTCTACTTCAGCCAGCCAGGGTTGAAATCCGATCCCTGTTGACATATGGGATCATGTCAAGGGGTTGCTGATGAGTTTTTAAAACTCCTAAGGAGAGCAGGGTGGTGAAAACCCCTCTGTATTCCTCTACAAGGACAAGCAGGGGGAGAAAGTCAATCAAACTCCAGTGCCAACAGAGCCAAGGGTTCATTTTCCTCACACCTAACCTTGTTAATTTCTTTAAGGGATTTTTTTTTTTAAATGGCAGGAGTGCCTCCTCCATAGGAATGTGTCCAAGCAAATTGCTTCTGCGTGGGGGGGAGGGGAGGAATAGGAAAAAGTGATCTGTACAGTCTGTGCGATTGCTTTTTATTGGAGAGTTCCAGTTAGTTTGTTGTGTAAATGACAGATGTGACTTGATGTCAAAATACTTTCCCCTCCCCCTCCCCAAAGGGGGAGAAACTTTGTTGTGAAAACTTAGTGGTTTAAGTAGTGGTGTGTGGAGTAGCAGCGACCTCGCTCTGTTCGAAAGGGAATCACCTTTTGGATGTATCTGGGGTTTGGTTTGTTGTCACAATATTTTGAAATATTATGAAATAGCCTTGATGGCCTAGAAGGAAGAGTAGGGAAGTAAAAACATCCTACTTTTTTTTTTCCAAATTTGTGGCTTCTCATCCCTCTTTGAATCTGGCTTTTAAAGGCGTCCAACCCAGGATCTGGCTATGTTTATACACCAGGTAAATCTGATTTAAAAATCAAGTACAAAAAAAAAAAGAAGCCCGTATCAATGAGAGTTTTGCCATTGACTTCACTGGATGCAAGGTCAGCACTAAACTGGCTTGGGAATGGAGATCTACACTGATAAGCAGAAAAGGATCCTGCAGCCTCTCACTGGTGCAAAATTCTCATTGACTCCAGAAGATGTTTTACTTGACTCCTGACTCCAGGACCGGGCCTTTAGTCTGTCATCAGACCCATCTTGCTTCTTGTCCTGAGGTTTTTAAAATGTAATGATTATTCACAATATTGTATTAAAGGCTTATGGGATAAGTGCTTTCAGAATAAATTCAGACTTCCTTCCAGCAGGCCTTAAGGGCTTGTTTTACAGCTAGGAAATCCCTTCAAAAATATTTTAAGGCAAAACTTTTTCTCACGGGGCAAGAACTGCAGTTTGCATTACAACTGTGTGTTTTAAACCAGCAATCCATCATGTTTAAAAAAGCCCTCAATTTTTCTGTCTTTGTCAAGTAATCAGTGATTTAAAATATTCAAAGGCTGTGTAAGGATCTTCCAGAAGAATGGATTATTTCATTGTTCCAGGAAGAATAGATTCCATTACTAGGGAAATCCTCAATGTTGAGGGGCAAAATAGATCAAAGATCTCTTGGGATATGTTTCAAATCCATTTTCCCCCACCCCCACCCTCTGTTTTGACTGTCTGAGTCCATAATCAGAGAAGAAATGGTATTTCACTGGTTATTTATTATCCTAAAGAGAAGGAACTCTGAATGGTTGATTCTCAAAAACAAGTCAAAAGCATGTATTACTCTTTTTTTAATTGCTAGTGTTCCCAGCTAGTCTAAATGCTGGATAGTGAGGACTTAAGACTTCGGTCTGAGTCTAAAATAAGCCTAGCAGAAACATTTAAGTTGTGAAAAGCAAGGATGAAAAAGCTCGTAAAAAAATAATGTTGCTCAGACGTGTTTTAAAAGAAACAGAATTACATGGACAAAATTATATGTTTTCCAGCCTCAGCTATGGGGTTTTATTTTTCCAAGGGAAATAGAAGATCTCTACAACAAAGCTAAAGGGTGCCATCTAGTGGTTTGTTTTTAAAATTCCTTTTGGTGACTGGTTGCAGCTAATCTTTCAAGCTTGGGAAATCAAAAACATGTTGAATACAGTACTTTACAAAAAATTGCTAGCTAGCTAAAAGTCACCAATGAAGAATACAGAGACGCATCTAGTGCCACAGAAATTGACTAGCCTAACTGAAAACAACCAAGTACATATTAAAATGTTATTGATACTTACATGTGGAGCTCTGTCTGAATGTTTTCATGAAATCGCATGTTAAAATATTTCCTACTTGTGGTGTTCGTCTGCTGTTCCTGAGTCATTGTCTAATACAGGTTGTCTTGTATTGCAGAATTATGCATTCATTTAAAAAAAGGTTTCAGTCTCCCCACATGGCAGCAACCTACTTGTTTATAAGGAAGTCTTAAGAAATATACTATATTGGATAACACATTGACAAACACCAATGTAAATGCAGGTGGCAAAACTTAATTACGATAATGCCAAGGTGTTTTTTTTAATCCTATTTCAAGCAACATTTTCTTAATGTGCTACAAGGACTTGAGATGAGCAAGATAAAATAATTTAAATAGCCAAGTTAATATCTCTCCTCTTGGGCAAAAAAAAAAATCAAGGTAAAGTCAGTTTCAGCGTCTAGTGCTGCAATGTTTTGGATGCAAACACTGCCTGGGGCAGTGTTTACCATTTTAGTTGGAACTTTAAAAAATAGTGGGTCCTACATTTTGGAAAAGTTGGTTTAAAAACTCATTTTGGGGGGAAATTTGACTTGGCTGAGTCCCTCCTTTTAACCTTTCATTCAGACTTCTAGTGAAGTACAGGGTCTGTAAACAAGAATCTCCCCTATGAAGAACTCCCATATTTTTGTACTAGATTTAAATAATTCTTGTGATTGGTAGAACTACAGAAAAAACAGTCATTTCCATGTGGAAACTTTATTTATAAGAGGGAGGGAAATAGTGGTTGGCTTTCTCCCTCATCCCTGTGTTATAGGCTAGTCTTTTCACCTCCAGTTACATTTATTATCAGTCAGACACAATGAAGACCTGAATTTTACTTACCACAGAGGGAGGCTATTGACTAATGCACTGTAGAACTGTTCGTAGAGGAGAGACCTTTCTCCCTGAGTTACAGGACTGGTCATTCTGTAGGATAACTTACATGGCATCTTCCCCAATACACCATGCTGTGCTATTTTAAAAAAATGTAGTGTGCGCTAATGGCCACTAGAGCAGCTATGTGGGCTAAATTTATTTGCTGAGTCTGAGCTGGAGTATACCTGAGTCTGTGTCCACAGTCCAAACTTGCAGTTATGATAATGTATTCTTTTAAACAGTACATGATAGTTGAGATAATGGGCCCCATTTTCCCTGGCGTCACTCCATTGACTTCAATTGAAATAACATTTCTGTATTCATTTTAAAAATTAATGTGTGGACTTCCTTATTTATGTGGAAGCCCTGAAAAAAGGTTGACTCATGGCTGTCCAAGGACGCTTATTGGCTTTACCTCTTCATTAATGCTAAGCAAGATTTTGGCAATAGCAATAGGATTTTGAAATGGTATCTTCCCCCCCCCCTTTATTTTTAAATGAAGAGTAAAGTAATGTGCAGACTAGAAACTGGGCCATTTCCAGGCATTCAAAAGTGCAACCAGTTTAAAATCTTCTTCAAAGGAAGACATTCAAATTCGCTGTAGCCCCTTGCAGTGCCCGAGGACAGGTGCAGTTTTCCTGGTTCCAAATGCTGATAATAAACCCATCCTGGTAATATATTGCATTTCCTAGAAACATTTGTGTGCTGGCAGGAACTTAGCCCAGACTGGAAGTGCAGAATGCTGAATATGCTGCTAGTGACCTAGTCGCCAGAGGGAACAAGGGATGGGGAAGGGTGGCTAAAGCTTCTTTGATTTACGCTGACACAGTATTTAAGTCTTTGAGCTTTTTTTTTTTCTCTCTTTTTATTTTTTATTATTAATCAAAACAGTTGTTGGCCTGGCCCCAGGAGGCTACTACATTAATAAAATCCTGCTCTGACAGCTGACTCTTACAAGCCCCTGGTCTCATGCCATTCTGTAACCAATGAAAGCGCAGAGCCAGGGAGCTTGCAAGGAGGTCCCTGTCACAGGAGCAGCCTCTCACCACAGGTGACTCTTTCCCTCTACTCCTGGGGGTGCCCTCTGGGCTCTGCTTCTCGGGCAGGGGCGAAGGGGATGACACACCCCGAGGTTCCTGCTTTGGGTCACTTGCCCCCCGAAAATAAATCAAGCCCCGTGGCAGGGACCCCTGCCACTGTCTCTACCCCTGCTGACAGTATGTATCTAGTTGGAGGGGGGGCGGCTCTTCAATGCCTGGGGGCGGAGCGCCGCCTAGCGGGCCAAGGGGCCCCGCGGGATCCGCCTGCCCGGGCTGGCAGAGCGTCTCCCCGCGTGGGGGAGATGGGGCGAGCTGCTGCCAGGCGCAGGCTGGGGGGGCGAGGGACCGCGGCAGTCCCCCGGTGTGGGGTGGATTTGTTTGCCGCTGGATTGGATCCACCCGCCTCCTGCCAAGGACGTGCAGGGCAAGGGGGGGGGAGCTGGGTGGGGGGGAGCTGCCCGGACCCCTAGGCGGCGGCGGAGCCCCCCCCCCCTGCACGTCTCCTGGCTCAGCAGAGGGGCAGCCCCCGAGCCATGGTGTCTCCAGCCCCCTTGCCCACGCGGGGGAGCCGGCCCCTGGGCGCTCCCACGCGGGGCTCTGGGCTCCAGCCCCCCCCGGTCGCGTTGCAAAGAGCTGCAGCCTGGCCCGCAGAGGGGGCGGGCTCGCCATGCCCGGGCTCGGCTCCCGCCTGGCTTCCTAGAACGGGGCTGCCGAGAGCCGGAGCCCGGCGCGTTCCCGGAATGACAGCGCGGTGCCCTTCCCCGGCGCCCGCCGGCCATGGGGGCGCATTTCCTCCCCGGCTAAACGCGGCGCTCACACCGCACCGGCGGGGCTGGCGGCTGGCGGCAAGGTACCGTGGGAAAGAGAAGCTCCGAGGGGGGATCTCGGAGGGGGCGGGGGGGTTTGCTGCTGGGGTTCCCCCCCCCTTACATGAGCAGGGCTAGAGGGTGACGGGGGGGGGGGGGTTTGGAAGCAGGTCCCCCCCCCCCCCCCCCCCCCGTGCAGAAAGGGTGGCCTTTGGGGGGGTGAACCCTGGAGCGTGAGAAATTGGCTTGGGGGGGGGGATTTTTCATATCGGAATCCCCCCCCCCACTATCAGCCATCAAATCTTGACAGTCTCTTTATTGTTGCTGAACGGCGCCGTCTTATGATCAGGTGGGTGCAAAGGCCAAACTGTGTGGGGTGGGGGGGACTCATGTGCATCTGGCTTGATTAATATGGGGTGGGTGGGTCAAGGGTGTGTCTGGGGAGGGGGGAGGAGCGCCTTCCTCTTTCTCAATCCCAGTAGCAGACCTTGCTGCGCAGCACAATGCGAGGGTCCCTTGTTGGAAAAGGCCGCTTGGCTGTCAGGAGCCCAGGTTTGTCTGCTTTCTGGAGGAGCCTGTGCCAGGACAGCAGTGGGTTTGCAGAGGGGCACCCGTGTGGACCAAGGATGGGCTGGGCAGCGAGACTGGATGGGTGCTGTGGATGTGCTGGAGGGCAGCAGCAGGATGGTACAAAGGACCAGGTAGCACCCAGGGCAGGTTGTCCCCCTGCCGCATCCCTGTAAAAGAATTCGACCGTTGCAGGAACTGCTTGCATTACGTGGAACGGGATGGAGTTCATGGTGAGCTTTGTAATTCTCAGACCCATGTCGTAACCTATAAGTGGGCCCTGTTCTGATCGCCGGGACAACTCTTGGGACTCCAGTAGCTCGTAGATGTGCCTGGCATTTACACTGAAATGACTGAGCTCAGACTCTGACCCGGTTGTACATCACTTACACGTTCCACTGGGTGTGAACTTGGAAGCTAGGCCAGTTGCTAGCACAATCTGGAAATCTCTTGGCTTTCATGCGAACATTGAAAGTGGCTGGCACAGAGGGCTATGCAAAAAGGTCGGAGTCTGCAGTATTTGGGAAATGAGTCACCTTTTTTGAGTTTCAAGATAGGGAGACTCGGAGGCACTCTGAAAACTCACGTCATTTGAGTGTATGAAATGGATTTTAATGTCATGCATTTGTCTTAGCATATTAAAAATCACACTAATTCCTCTTCCTCTCCATGCCCCATAAATCTCTGGGTACACATCTTTGTGGGCATGGAAAGGATTATAGTTATATCTGAAAAGCCAAATAACTGCTATGATGCTCTTTCCCCCTCTTTTAAATGTAAAAACCAACTGTGGGAGGAGGGGGAGTATTTGTCTTCATGTAGGTAAGAAGAAGAAGAATAAAATTCTCTTAGCATGGAATGGAAAGGAGAAATTCTTCTCTGTCCCAACTATGTTAACTCCCCAAAGCCAGCAGGTGGAGACAATGAGCATCTTCTGGCATTCAGAGAAGGGACTAGTTCTGGTTCTAGCTTTGCCACTGACTTGCTGTGTGACCTCGATCAAGTTACTTCACCTCTCAGTGCCTCAGTTTCCCAATCTTTAGCAATTTCTAGTTTTTCATATTTCCAAAGTGCTTTGAAATCTTCAGAAGAATGGTGGCTACTAAGGAGAACGATTCCTGGCCCCTTTTTAGTTTCTGGGGAACATGAAAGAGGGGAGGGGAGAGAGTCTTGCAGCCCTGTGTGATGCAATGAGAAGAAAGGAGTGGGAATATTGGGGATGGGGAGAGCATCTCTGAAAGAAGTGGTAAATGAATTCTTGTTTGACTCCTCCTGTACCCTCCCCAGCTACCCTCGAGTCCCTGACTCATAGATATGAAAGGCTCTTTGGCATACACCCATGGTTTGGGATAGAGGGTGTGGAAGAGTCTCTGATTAGATTCCCAAAGCCTGTGGTTGCAATAAGAACATACTGTACTGGGAGAAACAAATTAACTTTATTGGAGAGTGGAAGTGCTATTAGCTTCAGCTCGCATCCTGCTGATGTTACATCAAAACAACAAGCTTGCATCCTTCCACAGCCCATTTACATTTCTGAACTAATCTGGTGTTTGTTTTCTTGTGCTTGCTTTGTAGGTTTGAAAGAAACTTTTGGGCTGTGAATTGAGGCATTGGGTATGTACATTTAATTTCATGCCTTTTTAAATGTGTTGAATGAAATGTTTCATTAGGCCCAGCCAGAATCTGTATTCAGGAGAGTGGCTGCTCTGCACAAAATTACACATTCATATCCCACCGCCGGCAGAGGAACCGTGGCTGGAACTAATCCTGTCATTGAGGAATTTGGCATTTAAGATTCAAATTCCAGTGTGGAATTTCAGGTGCTGGATGGTAGCTTCTTGGGAAAGGCCTGGGGCAGACCCTCCAACTTTGAGCAAAGAGAACATGTGTTTTGGAAGAACTGGCGAGGGACGAGGAACAGAGTTCTGGAATTAAGAATCCTTGGTGATCTAGAGTCTAGGGAATTGGGTATCAGGAGATGGGTTTTCTGTTCCTGATGCAGCCACTGATTTGTGACCCTGGGCAAATTATCTTCAGAAGTAGCCACTGATTTTTGGATGCCCAACTTGAGACCCCTTGGTCTGGATTTTCAGAAGCGCTGAACGCCTGTAGCTTTGTATGGGATCTTTATGACTAGCTCTAATTTCCATGGCTGGATTCTGTAGTTTGGCTGCCCTGACGTCCATGGGAATGATGCACGTATCAGAGCTGCGGGACCAAACCATAAAGTGTGTAATCTAATAACTACCGCAGAGTAGCGTCCAGGGTTTGCTTTGCTTTGTCTGCTCTTCCTCTGAGATCTTCCAAGAGCAGCTTCCAATGGAGCTGAGCTGAGCTGAGCACAGTTCCTGCTGGCTTGGCCACAGTGGGAGCAGGAGCAGGCCTGGGGTGTGATGGGGAGGTGGTATACCTTGCCCACCTATTCCCCAGGAAGGTCCTGTTGTGTTCACCTATCAGCTAGGAGGATGGGACTCCTGCTGAATCCCCTCCAGTTCTTGCCCTCTTTTTGGAACATTCAGCAGAACAATCTGGTTCTCATGGCCAGTACAGATGGAAGCTGAAATGTGGTTGCATCCTAGATTATTATTTCTTCTCCAGCTGAGGGTCTGTTGCTGCCCTAAGCAAACACTGCCTTGCAGGGTAGCCCCGGCTGGAGTAGACCAATAGCAGCCTCTTGGCCCTGCTTTGATGCTTTCTGAGCCTCTTCATGGTCCTATTTTTCTTCTCTCTTTTTCAGGCAGAGTCAAGATGGCCTCTCCGGCAGACAGCTGCATCCAGTTCACCCGCCACGCAAGTGACGTACTTCTCAATCTCAACCGCCTTCGGAGCCGGGATATCCTCACCGATGTCGTTATCATCGTGAACCGGGAACAGTTCAGAGCCCACAAAACTGTCCTCATGGCCTGCAGGTGAGGAGGGGCTAATGACAGAGTAGCTTTCTCCCCCCCGCCCCTGCCAAGCCCCCTTTCCTTCCTCTGTGTGCGCACACGCTGTTCCATTAGATAAATAACACGTCTGACTTCCCAGGGTCCAGCTCTGCCTTTCCGAGCCCCGTGTTCACATCCACGAGTAGCAGATACTTGGCAGGGATTGGAGTCCGTCGTGCTCAACTCTTCGGTCTAGCTGGTTTGCATACCGATGTGCAGCTAAAAGTGTGTTTCTTGCAATGCTGCATTGCACGGAATCATCCAAACCAAAACCCTCTCCGACCTTGGGGAAGATAGTCTCTAGATCTAAATACTGCTATGTGCTCCCATCTCTAGAGTCACCCCGCTCTGGTGGCTTTATCGCCTCAGAGGTCAAGGGCTACATCTCAATGAATTTTAAAAGTGGAGTATTATTGCTCCTTTGAAATGATAGAACCATAGGGTGAGAAGGGACCGCAAGAGTCATCTAATCTAATCCCTGCCAAGATGCAGGATTTGTTGTGGTTAAACCATCCAAGACAGATGGCGATCCAGCTTCCTTTTGAAACCCTCCAGTGAAGGAGTTTCCACAGCCTCCCTGGGCGTCTGTTCCATTGTCCTCCTGTTCTTACCCTTAGGAGGTTTTTCCTGAGATTTAATCTAACTCTGCTGTGCTGTAGTTTGAACCCATTGCCTCTTGCCCTGCCCTTTATGGCAAGAGAGAGCAACTTTTTTTTTTTTTTTTTTTTTTTTTTTTTATGGCAGCCTTTCAAGTATTTGAAGACCCCAATCCTATCCCCCCCTTCATCTCCTCTTTTCCAGAACTTGCCCTTGCTGCTTTCCCCACGGACTGAGAGATTCATTCGCTATTGTACCCTGTAAATAAAACACCCGCCACCTCTACTGGCATTGTCACTGGGCCTCGTCTTATCAGGTGGCGCTAATGTGGAGGAAATGAGAGGCTGTTGGCGTGGAAAAATGCATAAACAAATCATCGACAATTTGTATTTTGCATAAACGTCTTCTGACAGTGCAATATTTAGTGTGCATTTGACACAAACCGTGTTTTCCCATGCGGCTTCAGAGATCAATAACTCACCGAGGGAGGAAAAACAGACAGTGCGGGGCGGGAGGGAGGAATTAAGAGAAGTAGGCAAGGGAGAAAAGACATTTAAGTGGAGAAGGTGGAGAGTTGGTGAGCAGTTGAGATGCAGGGAGGCTGCTCCGGATGGCAGGAGCTGCAGAGGAGAAGGTGCTTGCACCCAGCGGTGTAATTTGGGGGACCAATGGAAGAATTTAATGCTAGATGAGAGGAGGCAGGAGACATGGGGAGGAGTGAGAGGATTAAATCTACGGAGGGTCTTTAAATTAACTAAGGTCAGAGATCTCAACCTTTTCCATAACAGGACCTCGCTGGGGCCGGCCTCCCATCCATCTTCCAGCGTCGCAATGTAGGAAGGGTGGAAGTTGAGAGTTCATGATGTCCTGATGGAGAACCCCTGTAATAAGTTCTCTCCCCCTCTCTTCTTCCGAAATCTTGGAACGTTGGGTTCACTCTCCCCTCCCACCCCTTCTCCCCTTTGCAGCGGCCTCTTCTACAGCATATTCACCGACCAGCTAAAGTGCAATCTGAACATCATCACTCTGGCCCCAGACATCAACCCCGAGGGATTCTGCATCCTGCTGGACTTCATGTACACCTCCCGCCTCAACCTGAGGGAAAGCAACATCATGGCCGTCATGGCCACTGCGCTCTACCTACAGATGGAGCACGTCGTCGATACTTGCCGAAGGTTTGTCAAGTCTAGGTGAGACACCTGTGGCTGAGTTGGAGAGCCTGTTTTTGTGGGGGGCGGAGGGTGGAATTGCCAACGCATCTGACAGCTCGTTTCAAAGGCTGGGAATAAGGCGTAACGCCCTTCTTTTTGTCTCCATTCAGCGAAGCCGAAATGGTCTCTGCAATGAAGACGCCAAGGGAAGAGTTCTTGACGGGCCGGATGCTGAGTCATCCGGAGGTGATGGCGTACAGGAGCCGGGAAGTCTCAGAGAACAACATGCCTCTCCGAAACACGCCTCTCTGCGATGGGAGGGCCTTTGCCTCCAGTTTGTATAGTGGCCTGTCTGGATCGCCCCTTTCCTACACTGGATACAACCCCATTCCAGTCAACGGTTTCCTCTTAGACGACGAGCTGCGAGAGACGAGGATGCCCCTGCAGGATGTCTCGAGGGTCAACCCTTTCCCAAAGGAGAGAACGCTGCCATGTGACAGCTCCAGGACGATCCCTACAGACTATACCAGAGCCGTCACTGATCTTTCAGCCAACACGTGCCATGCCACCATCTATTCTCCAAAAGAGGCTGCTGCCGAAGAGGCCAGAAGTGACATGCACTACAGCATAGCCGCTGGTCCTAAGCCCGTCGCACCTTCGGTCCGAAACAATCCCTACTTCGCCTGTGACAAAGTGGCCAAAGAAGAAGAGCGGACCTCTTCGGAAGACGAGATAAGCCAACACTTCGAACCAACCAACACACCAATGAACCGAAAGGGTCTCATCAGCCCCCAGAGCCCCCAGAAATCAGACTGCCAACCCAACTCGCCAACTGAGTCCAGCAGCAGCAAGAACGCCCGCATAGCTCAAAGCTCTGGATCTCTGGGTACCAAGAGCCCTACCGACCCCAAAGCCTGCAACTGGAAGAAGTACAAATTCATCGTCCTCAACAACCTCAACCAGAGCACCAAGCAAGACGGTGCCGACCAGAACGAAGCGGGGACCCTCTCCCCTCGCTCCTACGTGTCTACTTCGGCTTGCCAGCAGTCCATGGAACCTGAGAATCTAGACGTCCAGTCCCCAACCAAGCTGAGCTTGAATGGGGAAGACTCGACAATCCCACAAGCAAGCAGGCTCAACAACATTGTGAACAGGTAAGGCAGATCCCCGTGGAGGAGACAGGACTCCTTGCAGCGCTGCTAGGTTGTATTCATGTTGGTGAACTAGCCTCTTGCCTCAGTTCCTTGGCAGGTGTAAATCAGTGAGTTCAGTGGAGCCTCGCCAGTTGATACTAACTGAGGATCTAGCCAGTAATGTACGTTTCCCAAATGTGTAACCACACCCAGCGTAGGCTGATGGTTACATTAGGGACTAGGCATCCTGGCCCACTCTGTGGCTGTGGCCAATTCACTTAAACCTTGTGCCTCGGTTTACTCTTCTGTTACCTACCCAAGTGGGATGTTTATAAAGTGCGTTGAGGTCCTTGTGGGATGGGCACTATAAAAGAATGAAGTGTGATTGCTGAATGCCCCATGGGGCCCTGATCCTGACTAGGGCATCTTTAAGGGTCCGCTGAGCAATGCGTGTGTATTCTTTATGCCTGGGCTGACAGAGGCGCTGTGGTCTGGTGTCACTAAAGCCTTCCAACGGGCGTTGCTCTTCTTCCACAGATCTCTGGATGGGTCCCCTCGGAGCAGCGAGGGGCAGTCCCCTCTGTACCTGCATTCCTCAAAATGCAGCTCCTGCGGCTCCCAGTCCCCCCAGCATTCTGAGATGTGCCTTCACACCCCTGGCTCGACCTTCGGAGAGGAAATGGGCGAAACCCACTCCGAATACTCCGACTCCAGTTGTGGTAAGTCCAGACTCCGTCCTCCTGCACTTGCCCTTCCAGCCGGCAGAGGGGGGCGCCATGGAATCTGTGGGCTGATGCTCCCACAAGGCCATTCCGCCACATGAGAGAGGGGCCCGGCCACAGCACTCCCAGAACTCTGGGCATGTTTGAGCCTGCGTCCGGACTAGCAGGCCGGTGTCAGTCTCTACAATGGGCTGAACCCAAATCCTGAACCTGAACTTCAATGGTTCAGGCCATCTCTTTTCCAAGCGGATCTCAAAGTGCTTTCCAAACCCTCTAATTGGCTGATTGAAGCGTGCATGGGAATTGGTTTCTGCTTCTAACAAGGCAGCTTGGGCTAGTTGAGAGTAATTAGCATCTCCCAACAGCTTAAGACAGGAAGTGAAGAACACCACAGCCACTCAAAATTGCCAGGTGGGGACTGAGCTAGGCAGAAAGAAATGATCCCACACTTGGACATGGCCATGTTATCTGCCTCACTCATCAGTTCTCGGAGCTGTCTCCAGTCTAGAGGAGCAATTGTGGATAAAGAGGGCTAGACTGTAAAAGGGTTAAAAAAGGAACTAGATAAGTTCATGGAGGATAGGTCCATCAATGGCTATTAGCCAGCATGGGCAGGGATGGTGTCCCTACCCTGTGTTTGCCAGAAGCTGGGAATGGGCGACAGGGGATGGATCACTTGATGATTCCCTGTTCTGTTCATTCCCTCTGGGGCACCTGGCACTGGCCACTGGCGGTAGACTGGACTAGATGGACCTTTGGTCTGACCCAGTATGGCCGTTCTTAAGAGGCTTACAGAACTCTGTTTTGTAAAAATCCATTTTCCCCCATTGAGTTGGAGGATGGGGACAAACAGAAGATTTCATTTGCTGCTCAAAACCCAAGTTCCCTCAGTGAGTAGAACTCTGAATTCATATACAGTGAAACCACCATCATGAGGCGGCCTTCCCACCTTCTGCTTCCTGTTTGCTAAGACACTCCCTCTGATTGGTTTGTTTATTGGCTAGCCCCATGGGTGATTTTTGCTGTGTATGTATGACGGAGAGGGTAACGGACGCTGTGGAAGTGCTGCTGATTTCATTCTCCCGGGCTGCTTCCCCCAACTCCATCGAACCCTCGTGAAACAGACTTTAGCTTGGACACGTTGGCTTCGCCTCCCCACTGGCTCCTTGGCCCTGTCAAAAGCCCCGGTCCACGCAGGAGATGACCCGTGTGCTGCTGTGCTTGCTGATCTCATGCATTCTCCCCGCCTCTCTCTCTCTCTCTCTCTCTGTCCCCGACAGAAAACGGAGCCTTCTTCTGCAATGAGTGTGACTGTAGGTTCTCTGAAGAGGCTTCCCTCAAGAGACACTCCCTGCAGGCGCACAGTGATAAGCCCTACAAGTGTGACCGTTGCCAGGCCTCCTTCCGCTACAAGGGAAACCTAGCCAGCCACAAAACCGTTCACACAGGTACAGCTCCCGGCGCCAGCCCATGGCAATGCGTCAAAGCAGGTCCCGAAAGGCATGCGAGTGCCAGAGCAGCAGATTCAGGGCACAGCTCCGTTCTGCCTTGCGTGCAGGCCTAATCCCTACCCTGCACTTGGGTCATTGTGACTGGGTCTGCGGGGAAGGGCAAAGCACCTGATAAGGGAGGGTCGTGGATCTTCAGCCACGTCCTGGGAGCCCGAACTCCTGGGTTCTGCTTCTTTGGAAATGGCTTAACCCCTGTGTGCTTCAGCGATCAATGGGGAAATACTTGTTTTCCTCCCTGGGGGGCTGTGAAGCTTAATATCTGCAAAGTACTTTGGGATCCTTGACTATGAGGTGTTGCCTAGCATTTGGGTCTCTCTCCACATGTGAGCTGTATTGGCTGTCCCATTCAGAGTGTTTGGGGCGGGGGATGGGACCTGTGGGCTTTTTTTATGATGGATCAAGAGGCTGAGAGAGGTTCTCTTACCAAAAATAAATAGTCTGGTTGTTTTTTTCCATTAGAAAGTCGGGTGCCATCTAATCTGGCAAAATCCCTGGTGACTGGCGAACAGATGAAATGGTCTAAGCCAGCCCGGTGAAAGATGAGACAGGAAGGGATCAGGAGTTTAGCTGCTGCTCAGAATCCTGGGGGGGGGGGTTGGCTTGTTTCTGTAAATGCTCAGAACATCAATGCCCAACTAACACTTCGGGGAAAGGAAGTTTGGGTTAAAGACCCAGCCTCTCTCCCCCTTCAGTTGGGCTGAATTGCACATTGCCTGACTTTACGGCACATAAAGTTAAACACATGCAGGATCGGAGCCGTAAGGTGCAAGAGCTCACAATATACGTCCCCGGAGATTCTCAACACGTCCTCCAGCAAAATCGGGGGAAAGCAGATCTGATGTTCAGACTATTCTTCATTTAAAAACAAAGGCAGGAGGGGGGAAAAATAAACCTCCCATGAACCTTTCAGGCCATCTGTATCCATCCCAAGGATGCAACGGAGGGCAAAGATCCCATGACGATTACCTTTGTGTAGACGGCAGGTGGGAATAATTGAGGCTGAATGGTTTGGAGCACAGTTACTACTGGCTCCATCGCCATGAACCATCCTCGATCTCTCTCAGCCTTGCTCACTTTGCCAAAGGAACGACCAACAATTGGATCAAATGTATTTGAAACCATTCAGAGACCAACGGAGCCAGGCAGATCTCATCTGCTTGCTGTATCTCTGCTTTGCTCACCCAGCTACAGTATAAAGTTGGATGATATTGCTTGTCGCGGGACTAGGAGGGGCTGAATTGTTAATCCCCGTCTGGCAAAGCAGACAGACTTGCCTGGTAGCCCTGATTTCTAGGGCTGTGCTTCACAATCTGAGCCAGACAGTAGTTCTTCGACTAACTTTCTGGGAGGAGGAGGAGAGGGTCACATCTGGCTAGGGTTGCCTGCCAAAAATACCAGTGCGCAGTGGGTGTGCCACACAGCCAGTGAGCAGATTCTCTGCTGCACCCAAATGTTGTAGGCAGTAGGTTCCCTGACTCTTAACCTGGCTCTGCATGCAGGTTGGAGCAGCCTGAGGGCTGCTCTAACATGCACTGGTCCCCCAAGGGACTGCCTGCCAGCTGAGGATAGCTGGAGCATGCCATACTGTGGAGAGGTTGGCATAGGACCGGACTATGATGGCTGTACCCCCACTGGGGACTCCCATCACATACACACTGGGCGATTCCCAGCTAGGGGGAGCGAAGCCGAGCAAAGGGATTGGAACACAGCAGGGAGTCTGCCCTGGGCTTTGCAGGGACAGCGCTTACAGGGTGTTTCTAGGAGGCCCGTGTCTTTTCCATTCTCTTGTGAACTATATAGCGATTTAGTGACTGTAGTGGAAGCTTTGGGGAGCTCGGGACACTGTGCGCTAACCTGGCGTCTCTCTGTTTCTGGCGGGGTGACAGGCGAGAAGCCATATCGTTGCACTATCTGCGGAGCGCAGTTCAACCGGCCGGCCAACCTGAAGACCCACACGCGCATCCACTCTGGAGAGAAGCCCTACAAGTGTGAGACCTGCGGGGCCAGATTTGTCCAGGTGGGGATCCCGCTTCATACGCTACAATTCCCCTGGAGAGTGGGAGGCGTCTTCCTGCCCAGAGCATGGGCTCTGGGGCCTGGGGCTCTGCTGCGTGTCTGTGACATGGGAAATGCCCTGAAGGGGGCACTGTTCCTTGTTTAGGGCCTGTTGAGGAGCAAATACAGGCCTCTTGAACTTTACCCTTGGCAGGTCAATGAAGCTAGTCCATTGTTTTTCAGTTAAACAGATCTGTGCCTCTTACATTTCTCCGTGTGCTGTCAGCCGTTTGGGATCTCAAAGGGTTTTGCTGCAAACATTCATTAGCTTATGCCCATGGAGTCTGATCTAGGATTCCATACTCTAGGAAGATGGCCCTTCGGATGGTCACTTGATTCATAAGTACTGGGCTCGTGGTTACAGTCTCTGTCCATAGAGATGGCAGCTTTTCAAACTCCTTTTGGTGAAGCTGATTTATTAGAAGACTCCATTAGGTTTAGAGTCTGCCTTTAATATCAGAGCTGCCGTACCGAATGGTCAGTCCAATCCAGTGTCTCCTCTCGTGGCCAGTGGATGGGAGGAGGATTTCTTCCTGACCCCAGCTGTTGTCTAGCTAATGCCCTGAAGCAGGAGGATTGATAGGACTGGCTTGGGAAGCTTGGTCTGAATGGGAAGTGCATGTGACAAGCATGCCTATGGGACCCGTTTTCTGACACTGTCTCCTCTGCGACAGGTTGCCCATCTCCGAGCTCATGTGCTAATCCACACTGGTGAAAAACCCTACCCCTGTGAAATCTGTGGCACGCGCTTCCGGCACCTGCAGACGCTCAAAAGCCACCTTCGAATCCACACTGGAGAGAAACCGTACCATGTAAGTGACCTCCCCATGTTATCCGTGCTAGTGACCAAGAGCCAGAACTCCCTAGCAGCCATAAGGGCCACGTACCATGGTGGGGAGAAGTTGTCTGGCACTGACCGCTGGCATTGCCCTGGCATGGCTCAGTCCTGACCACCAGTTCAGTCTTCGCTCTGGTGCATCCTTAGCAGGACTGTCCCCAAGGACACCTCCATTTCCCCTCCCCGTCTACCCTCCAACACACAGTAAATTAGAGACCTGCTGCTGAGACAGCATTTTGACGGGTTGAGCTGTATTTGGAACAGCCCTGACCCCTTTTCTCTTCCTCCCCCTTCCCCAACCGAAGAAGGTCACGTTCCTTCGAAGGGCCGCGGCTCATGTTACAGTAGAGGACAAAGGACATTGCTCCTCTACTGTACGGAGGATCATAGACGCTAGAGATGAGAGGTTTGTCAAGACGTCCCCTCCAGGCTCAACTCATCCCTGGCATAATTCTATTGAGTGAGGGCTATTCACTGGTTAGGGTAAGCTGCCACCAACTGCACAGCATTACCCCAGCGGTGAGCTTGGCCCCGGATGCTTTTTTTTAACCCCGAGGCCCATAACGTGGAGGCTTAACCTCAAATCCAAATAGCTGGAGCTAACCATGAGTAGATGCTAGTAGTCAGAGGGACTGGGGCTTGGAGTGGCCCCATACCATGTAGCACCCCCTTCCCATGCATCGTCTTGGGAGCCCCCATCTGACCCATAGGGAGATTGCTATGTAAGATCTCCTGCGCAATATCAGCAGGTGGGAATAGTTAGGATGGAAGGGGACAGAAAAAAGCCACTTCGACTTTTACACGAGGCAGAACTGTGGTTTAGAGGCTAAAGCTATCAAGCCAGGACCCCTGAGCGCTACTTCTAGCTTTGGCACTGACTTGCTGTGTGGCCTCAGGCAGGTCACTTAACCTCTCTGATGCTGTTTTCCCACTCTGAAGAAAGGGGGTGTCCAGGGTGCTGTGAGTCCGGAGCAATCCTTAATTAGGACAAGATTTAGAGTCCCCAGACAGAGGCACTACAGACCTGCCAAGTGCTTCATATTAATCGTACTCACTGTGTTTGAAGTGACCAGCTGGGAGATGGTGTCAGTCTTTTCGTTAGCGTCTTGGCAACGATGATATTTTAAAATTGAGGCGGAAGTGGGCTGGCGGTTCAGGCGCTGGCCCTGGGTTCAGATCCTGGCTCTGCCACAGATGCCTTGCGTGGCTTTGGGCAAGTCACTTAGCCTCTCTGCGCCTCAGTTGCTCATCTGTAAAATACGCTCCCACGCCATGTTGTGAGGCCACATTAATGAATGATTGGGAGGCGACTCGGGCGGGGGTTAGGGGGGCATGTATGTGGCTAGATTACATATGGCTCTGTAAACTTTCGAGCTAACAGCGCCTCCCCCATCCTTTCGGTTTTAGTGTGAGAAGTGTAACCTGCATTTCCGCCACAAAAGCCAGCTGCGGCTCCACCTCCGGCAGAAACACGGCGCCATCACCAACACCAAGGTGCAATACCGCGTCTCGACAACAGAGCTGCCACCAGAACTGCCCAAGGCGTGCTGAAAGCCAGGTGGATTTCTCTGCAGGGAGAGAGAGGAAGAGGTGTTTGAGGGAGAGGGGGAAAGATATCCAAAGGATACTTGTAACACTTGTAACACTTTAAAACTTTCATCACACGATGGAGTGCCTCTAAGCCCATAGTGCAGATAGGTGGGAAAAAATATTTAAAATTACACGGGTTTTATTTTTATTTTTCCCAGTTATGTGAAACTATAAAAAAAAAAAAAACTTATTCAGATTTAAATGTGTATAAAAAATGTCTGTGCAGTGGAGTGTTTAACCTTCACAGTCTGAAGATGAGGAATGTAATGTTGATTTACGGGAACAGTTGGCTTTTTGTTTATTTTTTTGTGTTGTTGGGTTTTTTTTGCTTTTCTCTTTGTATGCAAAATGTGTGTTCTTTTAAAGAGAAAAAAAGAATTGTGTACTATTGAAGAGAGGGCTTTAACTTTTTTAACCAAAGGTGAAGGAATCTATGGCAGAGTTGTAAATATATATATAAATATAAATATATATATATATATATATATATAAAATAAATATATATAGACCTTAAAGATATATTAAAAATATATAAAATGCATTAAAGGCTTGATTTAGCATCTGCTGGCAGACGCTGATTTGAGACTCTTTAGTGTGATAGAGCACTTAACAAGATATTTTAAAGTATTGCATCTGTATAAGTAAGAAAATATTTTGTCTAAATGCATCAGTGTATTTGTATTTTTTTGCAAGTGAAGGTTTACAATTTACAAAAAAAAGTGTATTAAACCAACAAAGCTGCAGAAGGAATTTTAAAATAATAATAAAGTGTAATTTTTTTGTTTTTGTTTTCAGTCTGTATATATGTAAAATGTGGTTCGCACGGTGCCTTTCTTTTCAATGGACGTTTTCAATGTATGAACTGTATGAGCCCAATTTCCTTTAAGGTACAGCCTGATGTTGCAAAAGGAGTCCTCTGGCAGAACTGTTTATCGGGGAATGTTTTGTTTTTTGGGTCTTTTTTTTTTTTTTGTCTTATTTTACATGCTTGTGTTATGAACAATCTCGGGAGACAGGGTTTGGGCTGTGTCTAAACTGCATTAATGCGTTCTGTAAAATATAGCTGTACAAATACAAGAATAAAACGATGAAAAGTAAAGTACAGTGGAGTGAGGGGTATTTTCTTCTGTCTGTTTGGCTTAAAATATCTTGATCTGAAATTCTCTCACTTGGAAGGGTCCAGGCTTAGGGTATGTATTCAGTGCCCGCTGGATCAGCGGGCAGCAATCGATCCAGTGGGGATCGATTTATTGCGTCTAGACTAGACACGATAAAATCAACCCCCGAGCGCTCTCTCGTCTACTCCTGTACTCCAGCTCAGCGAGAGGTGCAGGCAGAGTCGACGGCAGAGTGGCAGCAGTCAACTCACTGCGGTGAAAACACCACGGTAAGTCGATCTAAGTACGTCGACTTCAGTGTAGACCAGGGCTTAGTCACTAAGGGTCTGATCCAAAATGCCCTGAAGTCAATAGGAAAGACGCCCTAATCCCGACTGAGGCATGTGGCCCCAACCCAGCAAAGCGTGCACCCAAGTAGTTCCGTTGACTTCAAGGGCCTATGCTACTTGCGTACAATTAAGCATGATCTCAAGTATTTGCTAGATCACGACCAAGGAGTAGCTTGCAGTTCCCATTGACTCCAGTGGGTCTTTTGTGAAAGCTCAACACCCTTGAAAATCAGACCACTGTTACTAACGTGCCTAGCCATGAAGTCAACATTTTTCCAAACTTGGGGGCCTGATGCTCAGCACTGAAGGGCTAGATCGCTGATGAGTTAGAGTCCGTAATCTCTAGCTCAGGCGCTCAGCTGAAGATGTGGTCTAGGCCATATAGCTTCTCTTGTGACTCTCCACCCTTCCCACCTGCAACCAGAGGAACCCACCTTCTTCCATTCATGACTACATAACACCCCAGTGGCAACACCAGTCATCATTTGGCTGGTGAAGTCTGACTGAGGATGTATTTTAGGAGCTGCAAAGAAGGAGACACCAGTAATCATGTGACTGCCCAAAAATTGTTCCTGGACCACAGTTCCAGAACCTCTGCTCCGCTGTGTTGTCCGAGCAGGCTATTTGGCTTAACAAAGAGAAGGTAAGAGGTAATTTGTTTACAGTCTGTGAGTTCCTACAGGGGGAACAAATATTTAATCATGGGCTCTTCAGTCTAGCAGAGAAAAGTGTAACAGTCCAATGGCTGGATGTCGAAGTGAGACAAATTCAGACTGGAAATAAGGTGCACGTTCTTAACGGTGAGAGTAACCAACCCTGGGAACAATCTGTCAAGGGTTGTGGCGGATTCTCCATCGCTGTCCATTTTTTAAATCAAGGTGGGATGTTTTTCTAAAAGATCTGCCCTAGGAATTAGGTGGGGGACGTTCTCTGGCCTGCGCTAGGCAGGAGATCAGATGAGATGAGCACCATGGTCCCTTCTGGCCTTGGAATCTATGGGCTGAGAAATTTAACAGAATAGCTACTGGCCCCATGTGACTTGTTGGTTGCTATTTTTTGCTCTGGTGCGCAAGCAGCACTAGCTAATAAAAGCCAGGTTCAATTTCAATTCTGCTGGAAGCACTGTCCTCTGGGGAGGTAAAAGTCCAGTGTCTATCGGGAAAAGGACAATATTTGTGTAGGGGGAAAACTAACTGCATCCATTTATAAATAATGCCAAGCGGCCTAAGTAATCGACCAAAATACTGCACTGTCCAAGAGCACTGTTTTGCTACGAGCTCCACTCCACTCCACTCCACTCTGCTTGCCCTGCCTCTCGACTCTCCACTCAGGCTGATGAAGCCTGGAGCGTATTTTGAACTAAGGAGAGCAGCCCCGCTGCCGCTCACACATTGTAAGTGCGGCTCAAAGGCCACTGGGCTTTTGCTACCCGCCGCCCTGCTAGCGTCTGCTGCATTGTGCAACAGTGAATCTGAGCTGGGTCTGTAGCCTCTCCAGGAAATGAACAATCCCTAGCATGGCGATGGGTTACGTGATTGCACTGTCTGGGCTGCTGGCCAAAGGTGGGACAGTCCAACCGGTCTGGACCCTAGTGCAACATGTTGAAAGAAACTCGCGTCCTCGGTTGATAAAACACTGGGCAAGGCTCCTGTTTGTTAATTTAAAGCCAGGGTTTCCAAACCTGGGTGCGTAAATAAAAACTATTCAGCACCCATAAATTCCACAGGCGTCCATTCCACACAGCAACAGTTTCGTTGTTTGTTTGTTTGTTTTTTATGAAAAATACCTTTCTGACAAAGCAGGCATTTTCAGAAGTTAATTCCTGATATAGTCAAAATTTGGGGAGGTTTCATCTAAAACTCCCAAAACCTGAAAAGTGTTTGTTTTTCAAATTTTCAGCATCCCCCCCCCCCCCCCCAACATTTGTGTAAGTGCAGCAGGATCTGGCTCAGCATGTGGTGCTGAAGTAAACGCACCAAACACCTTTTTTTTAAAGGTAAAACAGAAGCAAGAATCTCCTTGTCTGAAATGTAAGGAATGTTTTCACATAAGAATTATCTTTGCAACTTTCCAAATACATGGAAATTGACCTAAAGATATTGATGGATTTGATCATTCCAAGACCTGTATTTTATTTATTTTTAGCAAATAAAAAATAGCTTCTTCAGGCTTTAAGGTGCAGAGTTTGTCTCTGAGTCTTTGAGACCTTTGATAATATCATCTATGATTTATCACTATTATGATTAATAATACCTAGCTTTTACATAGCTCTTTTCACCAGTAGATCTCAAAGCACTTTACAAAGGAGGTCAGTATCATTCTCCCCATTTTACAGATGGGTAAATTGATGCACACAACAGGGAAGTAACTTGCTCAAGGTCATCCAGCTGGCCAGACTATCACAAATTGTATCCAGGTCACCTATATTCTAGTCCCATGTTTCTATCCACTAGGCAACACTGCCTTAATATACAGAAGTTGTTTGATAATGATGTTGCCTGGAGGTTAGCGAGAGAGAAATATATATCATAATTCTGGATACCATATCAGACCTTATATAGATAGATTACATGGAATAATAATGATGATGCATATGGGCTAATCCAATTTTTATTTTAATAATTTTCCCGTGAATTAATTGGAAGTCTTAAACACATACATCAGCCGCTGACAATTGCATGTACAGAATTTAGTGTAACATGCCTTCAGTGATGGAGGAACTTTATTATTATGTAGACAGTGTGAAGTGTGATTTTTGGGAATGCTGTTGTAATCTCTCAAATTGCCACAAGGTGACAGTGTAGGACAAAGTTTGAGTGTACTGTACAACAGCTGTAGACTGAGAGCTTGAATGTGGTGTGTGTATGTGTGTGTATATTATATATCTATATATACACAGAGTGATTAGGTCCAGACGGTAAGAGGCCTGTACCTTTCAGTGTATTTTCTAGTTAAAATAGTGTTTAAAAAGTTTTAAAAAATAAGCAAAACAGTGCACTCAGTAGGATTCGTTGACCTCTCACTCTTAATAAAAGCCAGTTATTTATTTTCATTCACCTCTGGCCTCCCAGATCCTTTTATCTGGCAGGAAGGCAAAATTCATGGTCAACCTCACTGTTTACCCTTTTTTCCAGATCATTTTTGAACAGCATTAATCCCAGTACAGATCCTTGGGGGACCCCAGTAGTCACCCCTCTCCATTGTGAAAACTGACAATTTATTCCTATCCTTTGTTTCCTGTCTTTTAATCAGCTACTGGTCCATGAGAGGACCTTCCCTCTTATCCCAAGACTGCTACTTTGCTTACGAGCCTTGAGTGAGGGACCTGGTATTACCACGTTCAGGCATTCACAAATCATGAGCTTGCCCCATCTTCCCCCCCAGATAATGAGGTTGGTTTAAAAATCATTAGAAGTTAAGCCAATAAATTAGGGGTTCTGTTTCTTCACCTTCTGACAACGGAGTCTTTAGGGGTCATGGTTTCAAACTTTGTTCTGCAACCATGTGGGCTGGC